CCTGGACGGCCCCATCCGGATACTGAAGCTGCCACTACCACGTGTGGAGCTGCAGCCTTTCCCTCCAGACTGGCCTACACCTGCCCGCCCAATGCCCCCATGGATCCTGCAGCCCACCCTGCAGCGTTACTTTCTGCCAGATGACGCGGACCCAGACAGCTATAACTGACCTGGCCAGTAACCTCAGCCTGACCCCACTCTTGGGCCTGTCGTTCACCTTTTATAAGGCCCATGTCTGGAATAAAATCTAGAGGCTTAAGCACCCTGATGCCACCTCCTTTGAAGGGCCCTGGGTGAGTGGTCTTAGCCCATAGTAGCCAGTGACACGTGGAAGGCAGGAGCCGGGGGCACAGTTGAAGCTGGGGGTGGTGAGCATCTGGGACTTGGCCAGCCTTTGATGAAGCAGTGTTCCTGGTGGAGGTGGGCCCGTCAAATACAGGGGAAACCCATAATGTGTGCATGGCCAGCTTACACACTCAGACATTGTTTACTGGGTAATTACTGGGTGTTAAGATGGGGGACTGACCTTAGAGATGTTTCCCTGGGTCAGAAGGCCACCAGATATGGAGGGTAGTGGGAGAGAGCCTGGGTGGCTACAGGCACATATGGCAGAAGGGGCCTTCAGTGTTCGATGCAGGTGAGAACAGGAGTCTGTAGATGTATTTTTGTTGTCTTCATTCTGGAAAGGAGAGGAATTGGAGTCACATGCTTTTATCTGAGAAGAAATAGAGGCAGCATCCTTTGGCCCCTCCATTCTGTGAGGACAGAGCCTGGGAGGACCTGGCTGCCTCGGCATTGTGGGACCTGTCACGGCGCTGATAGGCCCACCCCACCTTGGGGTTCTGTGCACAGAGCTCTTTGGGGTGCTTTGGAGAAGTCCCCTAGCTTTTACATCCTTCTGTTGGGTTGTTTAAGCAGTGATTTCTTCCCTGTAAATATTTTCAGTCTCTGACTTAGAAGTTTCTTCTCGATGGCTTTGTGGTTAGAATTGGTCTTCTGTACCTTCCCCATCACAAGCCACTGTGCAGGGGCTCTTGTTATGGGATTGCCAAGTGGGCAGCTCTTTCCTAGGTCAGGGACTAAAGGACTTGACACTATGTACAAAAGGAATGGTGCTAAAGCAAGAACCATGCGGCTATGGTGGACTGCTCCACGGTGGACTGGTGCTTCATGTTCTAAGTGGTGAAAACAGGAAATGCTTTCTTTTTGAGTCGGAGTCTCACTCTGTCACCCAGGCTGTAGTGCAGTGGCACGCTCATGGCCACCCAGCCTAGACCTGCTGGGCTCAGATGATCCTTCCACCTCAGTCTTCCAAGTAGCTGGAGCCACAGGCATGTGCCACCACGCCCAGCTATTTTTAAAAATTTATTGTAGAGATGAGGTCTCGTCATGTTGCCTCGGCTGGTCTCCAACCCGTGGACTCAGGCAATCCTCTCACCTCGGCCTCCCAAAGTGCTGGGATTATAGGCGTGAGCCACCACGCCCAGCCAGGAAATGCCAGCCTGGGTGTCGGAGTGAGACTCCAACTCAAAAAACAAACAAACAAACAAAACAAGTATGAGGCCAGGCATGGTGGCTCACACCTGTAATCCCAGCACTTTGAGATGCTGAGGCGGGAGAATTGCTTGGTCCCAGGAGTTCAAGACAAGCCTGGGCAACATAGTGAAACCTCGTTTCCACAAAGAAATACAAAAATTACTTGGGTGTGGTGGTATAGGCCACCACAGGAGGTTGAGGCCACTCAGAAGGCTGAGGCAGAAGGATCACATGAGCTCAGGGGTTGAGGCTGCAGTGAGCTGGAATCATGCCAGGAGTCTGCAGATCTACTTTTGTTACCTTCATTCTGATAAGGATGGGTGACAGAGTGAGACCCTGTCTTAAAAAAAAAAAACACAGCCAGGCTCGGTGGCTCAGCCTGTAATCCCAGCACTTTGGGAGACTGAGTGGATTGCCTGAGCCCATGGGTTCGAGACCCGCCTGGGCAACTTGGCGAGACCTCATCTCTACAATAAATCAAAAATTAGCCGGGCATGGTGGCACGCGCCTGTAGTTCCAGCTACTTGGAAGGCTGAGGCAGAAGGATCACCGGAGCCCAGCAGGTCGAGGCTGCAGGGGCCGGGAACGGCCACTGCACTCCAGTCTGGGCAACAGAGTGAGACTCCAACTCAAAAACAAAAACAAAAACAAAAAACAAAACACATGAGAAAGTAGTGAAAACTTAAACAGATCACAGAAAAACACAAATCATAAAGGAAAACAATATACTTATTAATACATATTAATATGTTATTATTCTTAAACTGAGAAATCTATTCATATAAGTATATCATTAGAGAGTAAAATGGCAGACCGCAGAGTAGGAGGAGATATTTGCAATATATATAACTTTTTTTGTTTGTTTGTTTTACGAGAGAAGCAATTTTATTTCCATGGGAGTTTAGAGGGAACAAATAACTTCTAACAGGTGGAATCAATCATAACATAAGTGACAGGGAAGTTGAAATTTGGGCAAGAGGAGGTTTTAACTTATATCTATCTGATGGGTACTAGACAGAGAAAACCATGTAAGTAAGGCAAGGCAGTATGCAGGCACAAATGCTTAGGTAATGTTAGGAGTGTTCTAGCTTGGCTTGAGTGTTCAGAACACCAAAAAAGGAGGTGAATAAGAGATTCTGCCAGGACTTATTTGGGTAGTGATCATTTGTCTTGCCTATAAACCCAACCCATTCCACAAGTCAGCAGTGGAAGAGAAAGCAGCTGAAGTGTTACCAGGTACTCTGGTTTAGATTTAACACCATCTGGCACTTTTCTTTTCTTTTTTTTTTTAATCAATATTTTTTATTATGATATTGTGGGGTACAGTTAAGGGTTAGGTATACAATATATGTAACTGCTAACCTGAATAACAGAGAAAGGCTTTCTATGTATTTGGGACTGGGCATGGTCATTCATGCCTGTAATCCCAGCACTTTGGTATGCCAAGGTGGGAGGATCACTTGAGGCCAGGAGCTTGAGACCAGCCTGGACAACATAGAAAGACCTAATTTCTGCTGAAAAATGTTTTTAAAATTAGCTGGGTGTTATAGTGTGTGCCTGTAGTCTCAGCTATTAGGGAGACTGAAATGGAAGGATCGCCTGAGCCTGGGGTTCCAGGCTGTGGTGAGCCATGATCGTGCTGCTGCACTGTAGCCTGGGCAACAGAGTGAGACTCTGAGGCTGGGAGTGGTGGCTCACACTTGTAATCCCAGCACTTTGGGAAACCATGGTGGGAGAATTGCTTGAGCCCAGGAGTTGGAGACCAGCCTGGGCAACACAGCAAGATGTCATCTCTCAAAAAAATAAATAAATAAAATATTTAGGCCAGCAACATTTGAGCACCCAGAACAAAAAAGTCCATAAACCAAACAGAGTGAGACTTCAACTCAAAACAAACAAACGAAAGAAGATAATATTTATTTGGGAATAGGGTATTGCAATGGGAAGACACATACCATAGTAAATTATGCATGTATTCAGGGAGATAATGAAAGATGAAGCTGGGTGCAGTGGTATAAACCTATAGTCCCAGCCTCTCAGGAGACTGAGGCGGGAGGATTAATTGAGTTCAGGAGTTTTGAATCCAAGGAAAATTTTTTTTTTAGTTGGAGTCTCAATCCGTCGCCCAGGCTGGAGTACATTTGGCATGCTCAAAGCCACACACCCCAGCATTGATCTTCTGGGCTTGAGATCCTTCTGTCTTAACCCTCCAAGTAACTGGAACTACAAGCACATGCTACTATGCCCAGCTAATTTTTTTGGTATATAATTTATTGTAGAGACAAGGTCTCTCCAAGTTACCCGAGCTGCTCTTGAACCCTCAAGCTCAGGCAATCCACTCACCTTGTCCTCCCAAAGTGCTGGGTTTACAGACAGCCACCAAGCCCAACCAACAAAAGTTTTTATTTATTTGTTTATTTATTTAATTATTTTTCAGTTGGAGTCTACTCTGTCGCTCAGGCTGGAATGCAGTGGCATGCTCCCAGCCACTGCAACCTCTACCTGCTGGGCTCCGACAATCCTTCCGCCTCAGCCTTCCAAGTAGCCAGAACTACAGGCACGTGCTACCACACCCAGCTAGTTTTTGATTTATTGTAGGGATGAGGTCTCACCAAGTTGCCCAGACGGGTCTCAAACCCGTAGGCTCAGGCAATTCACTCACCTCAGCCTCCCAAAATGCTGGGATTACAGGCTGAGCCACCGAGCCTGGCCTCAACAAAAGCCCCCAACTGAGGGCTGGGCATGGTGACTCAAGCCTATAATCCCAGCACTTTAGGAGGCTGAGATGAGAGGATTTCCTGAGCCCATGGGTTTGAGACCACCCTAGGCAACTTGGCTAGACCTCAACTCTACAGTAAATCAAAAAAATTAGCCGGGTGTGGGAGCATGCACCTATAGTTCCAGCTACTTAGAAGGCTGAAGCATAAGGATCGCCTGAGCTCTGCAGGTTGAGGCTGCAGTGGCAGTGAGTGTGCCACTGCACTCCAACCTGGGCAACAGAGTGAGACTCCAACTCAAAAAAGGAAAAATCAGGAGGCTTACAAAATAAAAGTTTTGAGATAATTATCCTTGGTTACAAGGATCAATAACAAGGAAGACTCCAGCCCAAGGTTGGATAGGCAGTTGTTGGCAGACGTCCTTGCAGAAATATTTTTTGTATGAGGTTGTGATGACTTTTGTGCAAGGTTGTGGTTTTGGTAGAGCCTTTCGTGATAGGTTTTGTTATCAGGTGTTTATGCACAAGAACCCTCTTTTCGAGGCCATCCCCTTCTCTGTTTGTCAGGGTCTTTTTCTAACACAAGTGACTCCATTTTTATTCTGACAATGTTCACATTTCCCCTTTGATCTTTATCTTTATCTGAGAGCACCACTAATCAATCATCTTATAGATAGGTTTAATGTCCCTCAGTGCTGGGATGGACCTGTCCTGGTTTGCTGTCTGGTCCCACGTTGGAGAAAGTGAATGGCAATTAGAAGTCAGTGTCAAAAGCCTTTAGCTGCATTTGAACAGCAAGGGGGATTTGAAGGGAGTAACTTTCAGGCTAAGTCTGCCTGGAGTTAATTGTTGAGTTCAATTTTGTCTGTTCCATAATCTTCTATCATCTCAAAGTGCTAGGCCAGCACTATTATTATTATTATTAGTAGTAGTAGTAGTAGTAGTAGTAAGAAAGTAGGATTTAATGAGAAGACAGAAAAGCTCCCAGGAGGGAACCTGAAGGGGTTGCCTTATTATTATAATTATTTTATTTTTATTTTTTTTGAATCAGAGTCTCACTCTGTCACCCAGGCTAGAGTGTAGTGGCACAATCATGGCTCACCATAACCTCAACCTCCTAGGCTCAGTGATCTTCCCACCTCAGCCTCCTGGGTAGCTGGGACTACAAGCATGCACCACCAAACCTGGCTAATTTATTTTTTACTTTTTTTTTTTTTTTTTTTGAGTTGGAGTCTCACTCTGTTGCTCAGACTGGAGTGCAGTGGCCACTCCTGGCTACCGCAGCCTCGACCTGCTGGGCTCTGGCGATCCTTCCGCCTCAGCCTTCTGAGTAGCTGGAACTACAGGCGCGCGCTACCACGCCCGGCTAGTTTTTGATTTATTGTAGAGATGAGGTCTCGCCAAGTTGCCCAGGTGGGTCTCGAACCCACGGGCTCAGGTAATCCACTCACCTCAGCCTCCCAAAGGCACAGGATTACAGGCTGAGCCACTGAGCCCAGCTATTTTTTACTTTTTTAATAGAGACAGAATCTTACTATGTTGCCCAGACTGGTAGTCTTGAACTCCTGGCTTCCAGTAATCCTCCTGCCTTGGCCTCCTGAAGTACTGGAATTACAGGTATGAGCCACCATGCCTGACCTTCAGCATTATTCTATTAGGAGTTGTATTTCTACAGAAAAATTATAAGTAACAATACTTTTTTGTTAGTTGAGGCTGTAGTAAGCCATGATCGTGCCACTGCACTCTAGCCTGAGTGACAGAGTAAAACTCCAGCTCAAAAAAAAAGGAAGTTTAAAAAAAGAAAATACAAAGTAAAATTATTAATAATATGACAATCCTAGTTTGCGTAGTGGTTTTGAGCCATGAATTTAGGCTTGAAGGCAACCAATTAAGTAAATCAAATGACCATAGGGAATTGGGTGAGACCTGTTGTAATCATGTGACCTATTATCTTATGTAATTGGGTCTCAATTTTCCCAAAGAAATCTATCCAGGTACAGCATGTAGTATTAGCAATAGCTCAGACATTTCCTTATTTACTGTAGATACCAAAGGATCTCTTAGGTCAGGTTCTTTCAAGGTACCAACAGAAGCTACTGATTGTGAAATTTCAATTACACCATTATCCTGCCAAGTGGAAAAGTAGACATTAAGAGGGGTAAGACTTTCATGATACAAAGTCTTGTTCCCACATCTCAGGAAAAGCTGTCTGAAGCATGAAAATACCAACTTCTCATCCTGTTTTCCAGTTTGAATGTCTTTGGTTGTGGCATCAGGTAGTGGTGAACTTTTGGTGTGGCCCATTAAGTGGGAAAAAACACAAAATAGTTTTCCTCTACTCTCACACCACAACGTTCAACACAGAAGACTTCTGTGATTGAATGTGTGGGAATTTCTCCCCACCAAAAAGCAAGTCGTCATTTCTACAGCAGATGTGAGCTGGGTGTCCTCTAATTCAATTCTGACACAATTTCCCTAGAGAGAGTCTCAGATCCCAGAGGTTGACTGCCCCAACTTCAGAAGCCAGTTGAAGGTCTGGGTCTCCTGAGCTTATGACGGACCGAAATTCTCTATGGGCTCAACTAGATTTCCCAGCATGACTCACAGAACTCAGGGAAACAATTTTTTCGGTTTATTATAAAAGATATTACAAAGGAAATAAATGCATAGGGTGAGGTAATGGCAAAGGGGCACAGAACGGCCATGCCCTCCCCTGGTGCACCACCCTTCAGAAACCTCATTGTGTTCAGTTCTTTGGAAGCCCCCTGAACCCACTTTTCTTGGACCTTTTATGGAGACTTCATTAGATAGTCATGACTGACAATTATGTAAAAATATGCTTGGACAAAAAGGGTAGGAACTAATGCTAATAGACTGAGTGGGAAAACCCAGCAAGGCCTGTCTGATCAGATTCTTCTGGGCCTCTCTGTGCAGTATTCCTTCCTCCAGGGTATGGAGCAGGACCCCTTCTGAAATAGGGATCTTATGACCTGTTTCATCTCGCTGAACCTATGGCTGAAGTCACTCCAAAAGCAGAGGCAGGGGAATTTCCACAAGAGGTGCCCCAAACCCTCCTGAGATGGGACCAGTTGGGATTCCAAAGAAAGAAACACTGGATGCACTTATTAGGGGAACTTATTATTATGCACTTATTATTGATTACTTGAAAGCACATATTAGGGGAACTTACATTCAAAGAGCTGCAGCAATCCTCATATAGACAGCAAAAGAAAAGGGTAAGTCAGTCCACAGTGAGGGGGTCAAGATATGGAGTTTATGTGAGGGTTTAAGAAATGTGGCTCAGTCATTCCCTTGTTGAGCTAAGGTGTGGCCATGTGTTCTTTGAGCTATGGCCACGCCATGTTTTCTTAAGCTTTGGCCCCCTCCCCTAACTTGGGGAGGTGAATTTCCTCTTTCTCTCTCTCTCTAATTTACTTTCCAAATAAACTACATTTTTTAACCTAAAAAAAAAGAAATTTGGCACAGAGCCAAGGCTGTTCCCCCCCCCCCCCCCCCCCCCAGTGTTTTGGGCAACAATCTAGACATTTTTATCAGTATTTGGGAATGTTCAAGGCACCAGTTTGGGTTCAAACCTACTGGGAAAAACCTCCACCTGGCTGAGTCAGAGAGTGATCAAGGCCCTATGTGGTTTTCAGTCAAAACACAGAAAGACACCTGTGATTGCAGTACTTTGGAAGGCTAAGGCAAAAGGATCGCTTGAGGCCAGGAGTCTGACACCAGCCTGGACAACATAGTAAGACCTCGTCTCTATAAAAAAAATTAGGCATGGTGGCGTGTGCCTATAGTCTCAGCTACTTGACAGATTGAGACAGAAGGATCACTTGAGCCCAGGAGGTAGAGGCTGTGGTGAGCCATGATCGTGCCTCTGCACTCTAGCCTGGGCAACAGTGAGATTCCCAGCTTAAAAACAAACAAAAAAACCTCTAACAAAACAAAGTGTGGGGGGGGGGCTTGGTGGCTCACGCCTGTAATCTCAGCACTTTAGGAGGCCGAGGAAGTAGGATTACTTGAGCCCAGGAGTTCAAGATTAGCTTAGACAATGTAGTGAGACCTCGTCTCTACAAAAAATTTTAAAAATTAGCTGGGTGTGGTGGCATGTGCCTGTAGTCCCTGCTACTCAGGAAGCTGTGGTTGAAGGATAGATTGAGCCTAGGAAGTTGAGGCTGTGGTGAACTGTGATGGTGCCTAGGCGAGAGTGAGACCCTGACTAAAAAAAAAAAAAAAAAAAAGAGGGCAACCTTCTCGGTCAGCTCCTGCTCTGGCAGCTTTTCTGTCCTCTCAATAAATCCTACTTTCTCAAAAAAAAAGGTGGGGGGTGGAGTTGCCGGGTGCGGTGCCTCAGCCTGTAATCTCAGCACTTTGGGAGGCTGAGGATTGCCTGAGTCCAGGGGTTCAAGACCAGCCTGGGCAAATTGGCGAGGCCTTGTCTCTACAATAAATAAAAAAATTAGCTGGGCATAGTAGTGCACACCTGTAGTTCCACTACTGGGAAGGCTGAGGTGGAAGGACCACCGGAACCCAGCAGGTTGACACTGGGGTGGCCATGAGCGTGCCATTGCACTCCACCCTGGGCAATGGAGTAAGACTCCAACTCAAAAAAAAAAAAAAGATCATATACTGTGTGATTTTATTTATGGAAAATTCTTGAAATGACAAAATTATAGAGATAAAGAACAGATTGGTGGTTGCCAGGGGTTGAGGGTAGGGACAAGGAAGATGAATCACAGGGGAGACCTTTTTGATAAATTGTTCTCTATTTTAATTGTAGTGTTGGTTACATGAATCTACACATGCGATTAAAATGGCATAGAACTACACACATGCCTTGGTTTTGACATTGTAAAATAGCTACATAACATGTTTTTTGTTTTGTTTTTTTTGAGTAGGAGCCTCACTCTGTCACCCAGACTGGAGTGCAGTGGCACACTCATGGCCACCACAGCCTCGACCTGCTGGGCTTGGGCAATCCTTCTGCCTCAGCCTTCCAAGTAGCTGGAACTACAGGCATGTGCCACCACATCTGGCTAATTTTTTTATTTATTGTAGAGATGAGGTCTTGCCAAGTTGCCCAGGCTGGTCTCAAACCCCTGGGTTCAGACAATCCTCTTGTCTCTGCCTACCAAAGTGTTGGGATTACAGGCGTGAGCCACCATGCCCGGCAAGATATAACTATTGAGGTACCTAGAATAGGCAAATTCATAGTGACAGAAAGTAGATTGGGGTTCATTGGGAGCTGGGAAGGGGAGATAGGAATTTAATGTTTAATGACTACAGTTTTAGAACTGCTAAAAAGTTTTGCATAATATTGTAAATGTAACTAATACCACTAATTATATAGTTAAGAATAGTTGCTCTCTCGGTCTCTCTTTCTCTCTCTGTCGCTCTCTCCCTCTCTGCAGCTCTCTCCCCGCCTCTCCCCCACTTCCTCTCTCTTCTTACTCTCTCTTTCTCTCTTTTCCTTTTTTCCCGTTACAGATCCCCGCTGTCCCTCTGTAACAGCCGCTTTAATAAATCTCTTGGTCCTGGCAAAAAAAAAAGAATAATTAAGGCCTGGGAGTGGTGGTTCACACCTATAATCCCAGCACTCCAACCTGGGTGACAGAGTGAGACTCTAACTCAAAAAAAAAAAAAAGAATAGTTAAAATGGCAAATTTTGTTACACGTATTTTACCATAATTTTTTAAAAATTAACAACGTAATTTTAACTGTGACATGTGAATTATATTTCAACAGCTTTGTTTTTTAATTTATTAGTTAAAATATCTATTTCTACGCCAGGTTCGGTGGCTCAGCCTGTAATCCCGCGCCTTTGGGAGGCTGAGGTGAGTGGAT